ATGTAGCACTTTAAAGACTAACAAGATGGTTTATTAGATGATGAGCTTTCGTGGGCCAGACCCACTTCCTCAGATCAAATAGTGGAAGAAAATAGTCACAACCATATATACCAAAGGATACAATTTAAAAAAAAGTGAACACTATGTGTTCATTTTTTTTAATTGTATCCTTTGGTATATATGGTTGTGACTATTTTCTTCCACTATTTGATCTGAGGAAGTGGGTCTGGCCCACAAAAGCTCATCATCTAATAAACCATCTTGTTAGTCTTTAAAGTGCTACAGAGTCCTGTATTTTCTTTCTGCTACCCCAGACTAACACAGCTACATCTCTATCATTGCTTAGCATTAAAATTCTTATTTTCATATTTATTGCTGTCATCATAGCATGAAGAGACCGCAACAAGATCAGGGCCCTCAGCACTAAGCACTGTACAAACACAGCAAAAGTCAGTCCATTAAGTGTGTACACGCTAGGCAAGATAATGAAATGTTAGAGGTAGGGAACAGAAAGATTAAGTGATTTACCCAACGGAGTCTGTGGCAAACCCAGGAAATGAATCCAGGTCTCCAGAGTCACAGTCTAGATTCATAACCCCAAAATCCATCCCCTCTGAAAGCCCAAGTCTCTGGACAAAAGCAACTGGTAACAAAGCAGAGGCAGTGTGGTCAGCCTTTGCTGGAACCAACAGAAAAAGCAACATGTAATGCTCTTCAGCAACACACTCTGTTCACAAGCTCCAAAAAATTCCTGCCAGCTATGACTGCTAAAACGTAACTGTAATGTGGGAACTTTGATGCATGAATAAAATGAAGAAATAAATAAAATGAAGAAATAAGTTTTTGGGAATCCAAGTAGCCTTCAGATTCATACACACCAAAACAATAACACACTTTTACTTGTGTCAATGGAAGCCCTGTGCATACATCGTGGCAGGTTAAAGCCTTGGGCTATTATTCTTCATCCTGTGTGAGGGGACTTCATATGGATATTATGAATGGGACTGTGCACATGACTACCCCTCCCATGTCACAAAGAATCTAGTTCTCAAAACAGATGTAAAGTAACCAACTACAGGAAAATATTAAGACTATCAAAATAATTGCTTTACCCATTTGTTATATTTAAGTGGTCCTGTGAATCCCATTGCTTCTATTATCTTTGTGAAGGCACTCACTTTCTCTTCAGATGGCTGTAGGGAATCTTTTGCAGCAAGAAGCTGTAATGTAAAATAAGGTAAAAAAGCTCAAATGAAAGACAGAACCACATCCTTATCTCAGCAATTCAATCTGACTATTTTAAACAAATCAATATAATTAACAATTTTAACTTCTGTTGTAAGTTGTCTCTCATAACTATCAGAGTACACAAAACAGACATGCTACTACTCCTAGGAATGCTACATCTATACTCTTTGATTTACTTTATTTCAAGTAATAAGAAACTTTGTACACACCTCCAGCCTACCATGGGGGGGATGAACCAATAAAATAAAGTAGAACCATACGGTATTAAAGATTGCTCAAACATAGCTACACATTAGAACATTATAAATTGTGGTTGAGCTACAGTGCATTTTAGAAGGACATCCAATCTTTATTTAAAGTCATCAAGTGATGGAGAATCCATCACATATCATGGTAACATGTTCCAGTGATTAATGTCTCTGTTAAAAAAGTTACACCTTTTTAATGTCTATGTCACCATTTCTAATAGGTATAGTTCAGAAATCTGTCTGCACAATCTATATGTGAAAATACAAAATAACTGTTAATCCTAGCAAAGACTATTGAGTTTCCACTTGTATAACCTCCAACTACAGCATGATCTGTAAATCTTAAGCATGTTACACACACACACACACACACACACACACACACACACAAAGTTTCATATTATTGATAAAAGTATGAAAGCAGAGGTCATTGGCCCTTAGTTAAAATTAAGTTGAGCTTTACATGTTATGACAAGAGGTTGACACCCTACTTGTCTGAAGAATACAGAGTAACCTCCCCAAAATTGCAAACATTTGCTTTTTGGGAAATGAATGAACTTCCTGAAAACTTCCAAGAAACTCTGTGCATAACAAGTTAAAAATAGATTTTTTTAAGTTAGTCCTTTGAGAAAATTAATATTACATGTCAGGCTAATTGTTTGTCCTGAATTATCTAAGGCCAGATCTACATTAGAAAAGGTTTGGTAGGATAACTGTACTACCAGTCCCTCTTAGAGTACTCTCAATTATGACAGCAAAAAAGCAAAATAAATTACATTAGCAAAAATCTTTTTAAAAGTGAATAATAATACCACCACTACACTTTTCATCAGAAGATCTCAAATGTAACTTCACTAGACGATTTACCCAGAGTGGCTCAGGTCCTCAGCTCAACTCAATTTTTGTTTTTTGGAAAATGTACACGCTTCATTTAAATCATTGCTCTGAAGTGGGACTGGGGATTAGGGGCTCAGTGTGTAGGCTGGTTCAGCAAGAGAGAACTACCCCAGCCGTCTCTCATTGCAGCAGGTTGGGGGCCCAGTGAGAAGCGTCTATTCCTGGCCGCTGCAGCAGGCACACCTGGGGGCGCGGTGGCACGCAGACACACAATATATAGTAGATAGCTGTCCTTTTCTCCACCCCAGTTTCCTGCTGGCCCAATGGGGTTATAGTTGTCCCGGTCCCGCATCTCTGGCCCCACTGCTATAGTCATTCAACAGTATAATTCACTCTCTCCTACCAGACCTCTCCCCTTCCATTTTATGAGAAGCAATCAAATTCAAGGCACATCCCATTATCTTGGTACAAGCAAACCCTTACCTTGCTTTAAGTTATGGCAAGAGAAAGCTGCATACCAAATTTGGTGGTCCTAACTCTTAGCGTTCAAGAGTTTTTGAAACAAAGGACTCATGGATGAACAGACAGATGCATATTTCTAAAATATAGGAGGAGGAGAAAGGAGAGGGAGAAGGAGACAGATATCTAAGAATGATTTTATCAATGTAGAACTGTGGGCAGGAGGGAAACAAAACACTCTACAAATTAGCATTTACTAATACTTGGAAAAGTTTCTAGCGCAGATCTGGCCTAAGTAACTGAAAAGACTCTACAAACTTCCCACACACTTAAGACTCACTAAAATCTAATCCATGGCTACATCTAGACTGGCATGATTTTCCGCAAATGCTTTTAACGGAAAAGTTTTCCGTTAAAAGCATTTTCGGAAAAGAGCGTCTAGATTGGCATGGACGCTTTTCCGCAAAAAAGCCCCGATCGCCATTTTCGCAATCGGGGCTTTTTTGCGCAAAACAAATCTGAGCTGTCTACACTGGCCCTTTTGCCCGAACGGGAGCAGCATAGTATTTCCACAAGAAGCACTGATTTCAGACAGTAGGAAGTCAGTGTTCTTGCGGAAATTCAAGCGGCCAGTGTAGACAGCTGGCAAGTTTTTCCACAAAAGCAACTGCTTTTGCGGAAAAACTTGCCAGTCTAGACGCAGCCCATAGGTAGATATTCCAATATATGTGAAGGCATTTTTTTCTTGTTTTTGTTTTAAGATTAATGGTCATTTTTTGCAGTTATGCTTCACAACTAAGCTTCTTGTTGATTACATCCCTTACAGAATTCCATTATTGCTCTCTTTCAAAGTGCGTGACATCTAGGGTTGCCAGGTGTCCGGTTTTCAATGGACATGGGACGTTGGCAGCTCCAGTCAGCACTGTCAACAGTGCTGCTGAAAGTCCAGTCAATAGCACAGTGGAAGCCCAGGGCTAAGCACATTGGAATCCCGACCTGCCTTGGTGTCACGTTACTGGATTTTGAGGGGAGCAGCTAGGTCGCTGCTGCGCCCATAGGTGGGGGTGTTGGCTCCAGAAAATGGTATAAAAGGGGGCTATGTGGGGTGTTGAATAGAAGCTTGCTGTCTGCTGATCCTGTGTACGCTATTTGTGTGATTGTGTGATGTCTGTGTGTGTAGTTAGGAATCTGTAATCTGTGTGGAGACTGAATATTTCTCTGCATGCGGTTGAGCATTGGGCAGAGCCCAGCCTATGGACATGCTAATCAGCAAGGCCCTGTGGGACAATGGCACTCAATGGGCCAAGGACACACCTAAAGCATGAGTGGTGACTCATACCTAAGGCCTACCAGCAGGCAACACAGGAATAAGGTGGACCAGGTGACCTGCTATAGCCAAGAAGAGACCAGGAAGGAGGGATAAATAGGCCATGTGGTGGTCTCCATTTTGGTTCTCAGCTCAGCACTTCATCCCAGAGGCAGCATTGCAGGGATCGAAGAGCCCGGAAGACCTGTGAACCCATCCTGATGCTAGGATGTGCAACAAGAACCTTTAAACCAGCAGCTTAAACATCTCTGCTAGAGCCTGCATCGAGGACTGGAAGTTTCGATGCATGTAATGTATGATTCTTTAGCAACTTTACTCTCATGCTTTTCTTTCTTGTGATAATAAACCTTTAGTTGTTAGATGCTAAAGGATTGGCCCAGCATAATTTGTGGGTAAGGTCCAAAGGGTAAATTGACCAGGGGATGTTAGATGCTAAAGGATTGGCCCAGCGTGATTTGTGGGTAAGATCCAGAGGGTAAATTGACCAGGGATCTGTGGCTGGTTTCTTGGAACCGGACAGAACTTGTTTGGGGTAGGTGTGATTGGGTGCTAGGACCCCCCATCTGTGTATGAGGCCCGGGGCCATCTGAGGCACGGATATTGCGGGGGGTTGGAGGGGTTTTGCTCAGAAGGCTTCAGGCAGGCTCTGTGGGACTGGTTTGTGGCCTGTTTGGAGAGGTCACCAGTCTGGGGACTGTAAGGAGCCCCAACGTTAAGCAATTCGCCCTGAGCGGACGCCCTCAGCTGTGCCCAGACACGGCCCGGTCCGTCACACTTGGCTCCATGTATTTCCACAGATGGGCTTCAGGCATTTAGTGGCCATTTAGCCAGATGCTTAGATTCGTCTGAAGACAACAGGAGCAGAATCCAGTCTCTGCGTTCTAAGCTCATAAATGAGCCCCCTGGTTATATTGCTGCACCTGAGCCTGCTGTGCTTGCGTCAGATTCCTCAGTGTTTGGAGCTGTTCCCACAACAGCAGTACATGATGGGCCACTCCCTTTGCCCAAGTCTCTTGTTTCTACCATCCCTCCCTGAAGTAGTCAAGGATTTTTCTGGGATTGCCTACCATAGAGGAGTTTGAAGGGAGAGAACCCCATTGTCACTTGGGGTGCCTCCCATTTGGTGGGAGTGGAGAGTGGGGAGTAGAGCAGCCCAGAGCAATGGATCTTCATCTATAAATTTCTGCAACATGCTTTTTAGTGTATTATTAAACATTTCCACCAAACTGTCCATTTGTGGATGGTACATGGAGGTTCAGAGGCCTTGGACATCTAAGAAGTGGCATTAAATGTGAGGTCACATTGCTGCCATGATCAGTTAGGAATCCCCTGCAAAATCCTACCCAAGCAAAACTTTCACAAGTTTTCTGTGATTTTAGGAGCTCTGGAAGCCTAAAAAAGGGACAGCCTCGAGATATCAGGTTGCAAAATCCACAATAACCAAAGATATAGCAATTGTCAGTCATGCTCTTGTACAGTAGACTACCAAATCAACCCCTACATGCTTGAAAGGTACCCCAACCATGGACAGAGTGGGGCTTTTGGCACCCCCTTTGATCCTGTCCATTGGCACTCTGACCATGAGACATAATAGTCTCACACCTCCCAATAGATGTCTGGCCAGAAGAACCATATTCTACCTTTGGGAGGTTTTTTTTTCCCCTTTACCAATTGTCCAGCCCAGCATACTTAATGGGCCAGGTGTAAGAGGTCCCTGCACGATCTCCGGGGGACCAACAGCTGTCAGATCATCTCATGGATCTGGGGTTCTTCAACCACTTGATAAAGGCAGTTCCGCTGCCTCCCCTTCTTGGTCCTGAACTATGGCCTGTGCCCAGACTTGATTAAGCGCTGGGTTCTCCAGTTGTTCTTGAAAGAAATCACTATCACACTCAAGTTTGACTTGGGTGTTGTCCGCAGAAGGGCCTGTCTAGTGGAAGACACAGTTAGGGTTCCCCCCATCATGAGAAGGCCCTACTCCCGGATCCTTGGCTTCAGTGTGACTGAGGAGTTTCTTCAGCGTTATCTCATCACTCTCCCCTGTTGGCAGATGCTGGGCACATTCATGCACATACTGGACCACGCCCAGTCAAATGCCAAA